ACACCAAGTAATAAAAGCAGACTCATGATCGACTGTCACAAGGACTGCCCAATCAGAGTAAGGGGTGGGGAATATGGATTCGTGATAAGCAAGGAACGCTTATGAACAACTTGGAGCTTGGTCACAAAGGTCAAACCACAGTTAAAAAAGGCAGATTATGTGACGGAGAAAGCCCGAACCGGTGCTGTTTGTGTGTGCATGAGAGAGAGCTCGTGTGGTGTGTGGATGAGGTAAGCGATCGGCTATCGTATCGATCGAACGAATTCGGGAAATAATGCATAGGAAACAAAAAAGGTGCGACGAAGAGAGACGGCGAACGAGAGCTATTGACATAGCAGATTCACCAATATCCAACAGCCTCCCTTTGGTAGATAGGTGTTTGCGCGCTGTCGATTCAGACTGTTAACATCTGTGTGTTCCTCACAGGGGTTATTCAATCGACGAAGTGTCATTTGGAATGAGAGACCATTTGCTGAATGAGAAAATTCAGGTTGGTTGCGCAATTATCAGACAAAACAACTTAGTCCTTGAACAACTGAGGAAGTGTCTGAAAGTGCTACATACTGAGGGGGCAACGTTGCATAATTTGGACATAGTTTTGCGTATATAGTTGATTTGAGTTTACCAAAAACTGGTAGCATATTAGAAAATGCGACTTCCCATTGATAAAAAAGCAGGTGACTGACTGTATTTCCCCCCTTAATTCAAGTAAAAATTGTTGAAATAGCCCCGCTGCTCATTAAAAAGACAATAAACGAGAAGAATTTAATTTCGGTTATTCATTTCTAAGCTTTCACGTCAATTCCTAATCACTGGATAGCAACAACAGTCAGGGTTCACAAAAAGGATTGGGGTGGAAGCGGTAAAGAATGGTAATCACTTGATTAAACTGATTACGTTACACGATCATTTAGTGTTCATTTGCTTTTTTGAACAACATTTGATTACGTCACATTGTCTGGTCATGTTAAGCTCAGGATGTGGATAACCCGCTTTCGTTTACACATCTCTAGGTGATGGATCCGCATGGCTTTCATCTCAGCTGCGCAAATCATGGTCCTTTTAAGTCAGCTAGACAGACTCATCATGGTTTTGGAGATGAGCTTAAATGACCTCTTGATCAGAACAAATGCCCCATGTTGATCGTATGATAAACAGTTTAGCTATGAATAACTTTCTTTAACCCTTTTATCAACCAAACAGGAGTATACCCCTGAATTCCGTTTGATTTACCGTTGACTTGTGCGACCAATATAACCGGCCCCGCAAAATCACGTAAATTGAAAAACATGGAAATGGTTGACATTGGCAGTTGACCTTTAAGTTTATGAAGAATGACCGCATAGGATGAGAAGAATATTTTGAACGCTGCATTGTGAAATTTGACGGTATTTTGACGATATCTTTTCAGAAAGTACGCTGAAACGGAGCGCATTTACTGGGAAGCGAATTCACAACGTGACCGTTTTATAGTCACAGGTGAACGCAAATCCGAAATGTGTGTGTGATTGGGTGCCAATCATTTTTTATCCTTATTATTTCATTCACTCAGGAAACACTAAACACGAGTTTCACTATGGTAAGAGCTCATCAGTACCGCACATTCAAATACCAAGTAAGCATCTTAACGAATATCAGGTGGTACATTTGGTTAGTCCTCGCGTGAGCTGCTTGGCACAGCGCTGAAATGCAATCTTTGCGTGTGAGTAGTTCACAGGATAAAGCACTGAAAGTGATGTGGATATGGTTTGCAGAGATACCCTAACGAGAACAAAACCACAATTGATGGACGAACTGAGAATAAGGTCGGGAGGAGGTTTGGTATCAGTCAATATGACATATACAGTTATTTTAATTACATGCAGTTTATGAAATGCATATATGTATATATATATTTATTACCTCAAGTCAACTGGGGACAAAGACGAGTCTTTAAAGGGCGGGGCCTTGAAATTGGCCGGGTCATTTTTTGTTGTCGCTGGAGCTTTGGTTTTCTTCATCAAACATTACCCCTAAATATACTTTTGTATCAATTACTGGTGACCTCAATGATAACCTACAACGCGCTCAGTTTAATTTTCGTACGATTATCTGTGCCATATATGAATGAACCGTTCTTAAGTGCTTTTTCTCGTTTTGTGAGAAATAAGAATAAAAGGATCATCAGAAATTTATATGACAAACGGAGCAAACATCGCGCCAGCTTGAAAGCTATACTTGAGCACTGAAACCTGAGGAGCATTGGGTTTCCGATCATTCTGTCGTCGGATGTCTGCTCAGTTCTTTCTAAGCTATCGGACA